TGGACGACGACATTTGAGGACTGACCTGTCAGTGCTCGCGGATGCGCCCGAACGCTCCCACGAGTGTTTGAGGGGCCGAATTTTACCATGTTCGGCTGTAGATGCTCTAATAACACATAAATCACCATTCGATAGCTGAGTCTTTGTTTTGGTTAAGTTGTGCATGACCAATATGTTCTTCTCGAACTCTCATAAGACATACCATATTGTAATTTAGAGAATCTTGTTGTCAGTGCCTAGCATTCTAAACTTTGTATCAAGCCCCTAATATGAAATCACAGCCTAGAAAAGGTGTCCACACTCGGTATGACAGTATCTCATACTCGCCGAGATAAATAGGGCCTTCTCACGGAGTCACGGTGAAGGTTGCATGGCCCTCATTTTTGGCATCGCAGTATAGCGACGCCCCCCTCTTTGACACCGGCGGCGTGGAAGGATGGGCGGTGGAGTTCGTCGTGGACTGGAAGAGAAGATGTGGGCAATTAGAAACCAGAGGCCGAGAGAAGAAAAGCGATGTGCCCATGTAGCGAACGAACAAAACGACAAAGCGTGATGGAACTTTGATAAGTGCCAAACACATGCAATTTACAGTGTGATGTGCGGGTTTACCAAGGAAACCAACATCCGGGTTAGGTAGGGCTCTCCCTTTTTTAGAGAGGATGAAGAATGTAAAGACATAACAAATTTATCCATGGACTGGCAGTAATACAAAAGAGAATCAATTAAAGGCATACCAATAATTACTCAGTTTCACATTTACGCTGACAACTTCAGCTTTGAAATCTATGATTCACGGTTTTCGCGCCAAAGATGATGGCGTCAAGGTCTTAAATCCCAAAGTACCTCTCTAATTCCATAAAAAATTCAAAGAAATGTTATAAGGTTGTAGTTAGCAATTTTTCGTACGTGGATTGTTTCATTAATAATGTCACAATCCATTAGGTTTTTCTTTCTTATGATTTCATTGCCCATGATTTCCGAGGAAATTGTTGGTCCACTCTAATCTACCATGAAAAATCTTATGTATTTGTGTGCAGAGTTGAACATCCATGCAATCATTCTATCACCAAGTTTTTCTTCCCTTGCAAAAAATAAATTCAGTTTTTTCCTGAAAAAAAATCATTTTTTTGCAAACCCTCTTATGAAAGACATTTTCATTTTGAATTTTGACAAGCTTCGAAACAAATGGACGGAGCGGATTATAGGATCAACGATTACCTCTTTGGCCATAAAAAGAACGACTATCGCGTTCACGGCATGTAGCTTGCCCAATTGTGCTCTACCCAGTTAAGAAAAAAATTGTGCCCTACCGCCCAAACAGGGCGCCGCCGCCAGCGCAAAACCAGCCTTCTCCGCCCAGGTGACCACCGAGCGAGCCAAAAGGAGAGGAGAGAATATAAGGTTAATTGTAATGGGAGTATCATAGGTAGTATCATGCATGCCAACGCAATTATGATGAGGTGGCAAAGAATTAAATGAAGAAAGAGAGCCTTGATTATAATATCATGATACCGTATCATATTAAATGATGTGCTACTTTGTATCATGCATGACAATAAATGTAGTCCTATATGATACCAATATATGATATCATGCAATACGAATGTAGTATCATACACTAGTATCATATGCATGATACTAGTATATGATACTCCCATTACAGATAAACATGCATGGCAGCGACGTGGCCGGCACGGAACGAACCGCACTTGCCGCCCGAGGAGGCGGTGCGGGTGGAGGCCAGGCGCGCGGTGCGGGTACTTCGACAACGTCGACCCGAGACGCCCGGCCAAGCCGCCGCGCAGCAACTCGTCGGACAGTAGGGCGGGCTACGCCATGGTGGCCGCTGGAGGCGGCTCATCAGAGCTTCACAAGCCCGCCGACCTCGAGGCCAAGCCCCAGGTTGATGCCCTTTTCTCTCTTCTTATGTTGTTGGGATTACCGATGTTTTATTGTTGAATCATCGATCTAAGCATGCTACATTGTCGGGCATAGAAGTTGGTGCTGGACGGGGAAGAGTACGTGGAGATGCAGCACTATGATGGGATCAACTGCATCGACAGGCAGCATCACATAGTAAGATTAGATTAGAGCCCTTGATGTTTTATGCGATTATGTAGTTTGTAGATTCAACATGTTTATCTGCAGGCATTTCATGTCTACAGCTCTGTTCTCTGAGTATGATTTTGTGCTCCAATATGCCTTATGGAATCAATTAGTAACCTCTCAGTGCGATCTTGAGCTTTAGTTCATAGTAATGGCGTGTAAACTGTTGATTGTATACACGAATGCTAGATCTAGAGCAGGTCCATCACTGAGTTATGCTAGAATTGGCTGGCTAACATAAGCACTGGAGTAAGTTAGACCAAACAAGCCCAATGCCATCGCAAAATTAACAGGTGTAAGTGTAACTTGGAAAACAAAATTCACCCAATGTAAGATTACAATTGAGTTCTCTTTTAGTTGATGGCACTCTCCAACAAAACTCACCAAGCCTTTTGTGTTTGTGTGGCATCGTTTTTGCAGAACATGTTAATAAGGTGTGCAAGAGTAAGAAACCTGGTCAGTATCTATTTGTTGCACACAACATTACGAGAGATTTGAAACCTTATAAGAACCTACTCATTGCAAACAATATTAAAATTCATAAAGAAAAGCTTGGTCATAACTCATCAGCCATATGTAACTGGTAAAAGTCCGCAGTAAAGTCACAAGTGGTGTGAAAAGCATTCAAGATGTTTTAGGCTAGCAGTTGAGTATCTTCCTATTCGGTATTTGTTAGGAACTTGGATATTTTTTCTAGATGCTATCTCTGCTAGAACTGGATGAGGTTCTTTTCTGGACCCTAGAAAAGTGGTTTGTATTATCTCATTTTATCCATCCTGAAAGAAGGATTTTCCCTTGGTCCAAAGAAGTATGAATTCCTGGCCTTCTCAGCAAGTCAACTTCGTGGAAGTTCTGTTTAGTTGGTTGATTCTAATGATTCCGTGAAGGCCGAGGATATAAGAAAGTGGATGGGCCACTTTGAAGAAATTCGTTCAATATTTTAGTGTGCGACTAGAGCGGGCCAGCTGTTCAGCACCTCTAGAAAAATAATTGAAATCCTACCACGGGTTATGGAAGAGATTCCAGATATTGAAGTCACCACTGATGGCACTAAATACATATTTTCTGATGGTATTGGGAAGATGTCTGAGAGATTTGCCAAAGAAATGGCTCACTATTCAGCTTTTCAAACGAGGTATGGTGGCTACAAAGGAGTTATTTCTGTCGACCCTGATTCCTTTCGTAATCTTTCTCTACGGCCTAGCATGATGAAATTCGAATCTAAGAATACAATTTTTAACACTACAAGTTGGAGCAAAGCCCAACCATGCTATATGAATCGCAAAACTATCTCTCCTTTCGACTTTTGGAATAAAAGATGAGATATTTGAGTTAATGCAGCAAGATGACATGCATAAATTAGCTGAAATGCTGACGAATAGATAAGTTGGTCTCTCTGTTCTAGGGAAAATTGATAGTGCTAAAACAAAGACGACATCGAAAATGTTACTGCAAGGTTATGAACCAAGTTTAGAGCCTTACATGTTGATGATTCTTAAGGTCCATCAAGATAATAGGCTGACTGACATAAGAACTAGATGTAAGATTCATGTTCGGAAAGGCCATGTTCTTATTGGTTGTTTGGACGAAACAAGCGAATTAAAATATGGTCAAGTGTACATCAGAATTACAAAAAACAGCAAAGAGCAGAAGGATAATGGTTGGCCGTACTTTTCTGAAGATAATGGGGAAATATAAAACAACAATTGTTGTTGGAAAAGTTGCAATATAAAAATAATCCTTGTCTCCATCCTAGTGACATCAGAGTACTTGAAATTGTATATGACCATGGAGCCGAGAACCTGGTTGATTCTTTTGTCTTCCCTCAAAGAAGATAAAGGTAATTATCGTAATGTTATACTGAAACTGAAAGGCATCTAGATTTCATATTGTCAGCTTCGTTTCCATGTTAGATTGATATCCGGCCATGTTACATATATAAGCCTAATAGATGGATGTTGCCAATTCTTGCTTTCTCCTTAAATTAATCTTTGCCGTTTAATAGGCCTTGTCCATATCTTTCCTACTTATAAAGGTTGGAGTTGGTGGTGAGTTCACTTCTGAGACTGACAACCTTCACCAATAAAATAAAAGAACCCTTACCCACATGTGAGACTAGCAACATTTCAAGCCGTAATTGCCTTTGCCTCCTAGGTGCATATGCATCCATTGTCGAAATACACATTTTGAAAAGTTGAAAAATTCGGAACAAAAATCCTGCGTGTATATCCGAACATTTTATGTGCGTGCACAAGGTTTCAGTGAAAAACGACTTTTTTGTGGCTTGTGTAAAAGAGACAATTTCAGATGCTTCATTCTAACTATTCACGACGCATTTCTTTATCTTTTTTACACGAGCCATAAAAACGTCATTTTTCACCGAAACCCTGTGAACGCACATAAAATGTCCGGATATACACGTGGAAATTTTGTTACGAATTTTTCAACTTTTCGAAATGTGTATTTCGACAATGGGTACATATGCACCTAGGAGCCAAAACGCCGTGTCGCCTTTCAAGAGATATAAATAAACAAATGCACTTATACTGTCATGTGGGACCTAAAATAAACTAGAAGAACACCCGTGCGTTGCAACGAGGCCACATTAACTTTAAGAGTTCAATATTACGACATTGGCGACCTTTTTTACCATCAAATCCTCACACACACACTCTCCCTCCCTCTTCCTCGCTCTCTCTCCCCCCCTCTCTCTCTAACACACACACATATCCATCTTTGGGTACGGGACCATAATCCATCTATTTCACATACACACTAGCTAGTGCATAACTATATGGATTATGTGTATTATATTTGCCATCAGAACTGAGGGAATTAATTTCATGTAAATCGGCCAGCCACAGCTCCAAGAATATGCGGAGGAGGTGGCCCGGGTCAGCGTCGGCACCGTCCAACGCGGGCCACGGGCCCGCTTCCAAGTGCACGTGCAATGCACGTCTTCACAAATATTATAACCAGATGTGAGAAATCACATACTAACACGATGTTGCAATCAATTTGTAATTAAAGAAGCCAAAAGTCTTTTTTCTTAAACCAGAATTCCTTATGTTGGAGTTTAAACAAACCCCACAATAACATGATCAATTTTTTTTGCTCTACTTATCACCTAATTAAGCAAATGCATGACTTATGAAGCGGATAAGAAATCATGTTAACTTGGAACTAAAATTCCAACAAAAGAGTGAGGAACAAACCTTTTTATCATTGCTCTGAAATCTGAACCTCCCCCTATTTGTTAGTGAAATGTGAGTATGCTTGGAAGATAATAATTTCTTATGCAACATATGCTTTTACATCTGAAAGAGCTACAAAATATGTTGACCTACCTATGTGCACTTCCTAAATCAAGCGGATAAAATTATTTCTATCGGCAATATAAAATACTAAACATTAGAAAGAGAGGGACAATGTCCACTAACCATGCAAATATTCTGACCATGGGATATTTAGGCTGGCGTATGTGGGAAATCAAAGCTAAAAATGACTCGATGAGTTAGGGATACGTCAATAAATATTGTAAAAAGTGATAAAAACAAATCTGCAGCAACTCGCGACCCCACAAACTCGTATTCGCAATGAGCAAGTTAGTGAGGCCGCCACGGTAGGCTAGCACCAAGGGACAAGGGCAACAACCGCCTTTCCATCCAACCTACTGATTCTGCTGGCGCTACTTTCATCCTAAGCCCATGAGTACCGCTAGTGTGTTGCCACGTACGGAGAAACTACGAACTGAAATTTTCATCCAAATCATGAAAAATGTTAATGTTCCTCTCCTCTCCCATCCCTCGTGTGAACATACCCAATTCATGGTTGGCTCGCTACATTCAGCGTAGCTCTGATGTGCACTGCCCTTGCTCTTGATTAGTTGCCGCAGTGCCACGCATCTACGCCAACAAGCTGGGGAAACAAATGCAAATGTTACACCGAGTCAAAATCAACCATCCCACAATCGTAACAATAGAAAATATAATAACCAAAATTTAAAAGAAGAACTACTGCTTGGCTCCCAGATCCATCTCGATAGCCCTTGATCTGGCTGCTGAGCTTCTTCTAGCCGCCTCAACATCACGTCATTACCAAACATGTAGTGGATGCCTAGTGGGACAAGGATTAAGAAATAACATGAGGTGAAAAATACGATGGCTTTCAATTCCATAAGACGATCCAAGTAATCTGACAAAACAGATCGGGAGCATCTTGTATAATCTCAAAAAAGCAACTAAAAATATGAGTAATGAATTGATGAAAATCAGCCCCTGCTCTCATTCATGCTCGCTTTTGTAATGGGAGGCAAGGAATGGGGATACCGGGAGAAGAAAGGATCACATGGACGGCAAGCCTCCACCACCGGCAAGTGGGGTTGCTTCACATCCAATCTCCACGGCCGCCGCCTCCATGGGGACGAACTCCCATGTTCATGTTGGGGAACGTAGCAGAAATTCAAAATTTTCCTACGAGTCACCAAGATCTATCTATGGAGAGACTAGCAACGAGGGGAAGGAGAGTGCATCTACATACCCTTGTAGATCGCTAAGCGGAAGCGTTCAAGAGAACGGGGTTGAAGGAGTCGTACTCGTCGTGATCCAAATCACCGGAGATCCTAGTGCCGAACGGACGGCACCTCCGCGTTCAACACATGTACATCTCGGTGACGTCTCCCATGCCTTGATCCAACAAGGAGAGAGGGAGAGGTTGAGGAAGACTCCATCCAGCAGTAGCACGACGGCGTGGTGGTGGTGGAGGAGCGTGGCAATCCTGCAGGGCTTCGCCAAGCACCGCGGGAGAGGAGGAGAACTTGGGAGAGGGGGAGGGCTGCACCAGAACTGGGGGTGCGGCTGCCCTCCCACCCCTCCACTATTTATATGTGGGGGGAGAGGGGGCCGGCCCACCTAGATCTCATCTAGGGTTGGGGCGGCGGCCAAGGGGGGAGGAGTGCCTCCCAAGTCAAGTGGAGGCCCTCCCCCTTAGGGTTTCCCCTCTCCCATGCGCATGGGCCTTGGGGGGTTGGTGCCCCTGGACCATTAAGGCTAGGGCGCCCTCCTACAGCCCATGCTGCTGTATTGGACGTGGTGGAACAATTTCCGGATCTCTGGACCCCTCCGGAATCCTCTGGAACCTTCTGGAAGCTTCCCGGTACAATACCGGAAAAAACCCAAACTTTTCCCGGAACCCGAACAACAACTTTCCATATATAAATATTTACCTCCGGACCATTCCGGAACTCCTCGTGACATCCGGGATCTCATCTGGGACTCCGAACAACATTCGGTAACCACATACAAACTTCCTTTATAACCCTAGCGTCATCGAACCTTAAGTGTGTAGACCCTACGGGTTCAGGAACCATGCAGACATTACCTAGATGTTCTCCGGTCAATAACCAACAGCGGGATCTGGATACCCATGTTGGCTCCCACATTTTCCACGATGATCTCATCGGATGAACCACGATGTCAAGGACTCAATCGATCCCGTATTCAATTCCCTTTGTCTAGCGGTATTGTACTTGCCCGAGATTCGACCGTCGGTATCCGATACCTTGTTCAATCTCGTTACCGGCAAGTCTCTTTACTCGTTCCGTAACACATCATCCCATGATCAACCCCTTGGTCACATTGTGCACATTATGATGATGTCCTACCGAGTGGGCCCAGAGATACCTCTCCGTCACACGGAGTGACAAATCCCAGTCTCGATTCGTGCCAACCCAACAGACACTTTCGGAGATACCCGTAGTGTACCTTTATAGCCACCCAGTTACGTTGTGACGTTTGGTACACCCAAAGCATTCCTACGGTATCCGGGAGTTGCACAATCTCATGGTCTAAGGAAAAGATACTTGACATTAGAAAAGCTTTAGCATACGAACTACATGATCTTTGTGCTAGGCTTAGGATTGGGTCTTGTCCATCACATCATTCTCCTAATGATGTGATCCCGTTATCAACGACATCCAATGTCCATGGTCAGGAAACCGTAACCATCTATTTATCAACGAGCTAGTCAACTAGAGGCTTACTAGGGACATGGTGTTGTCTATGTACCCACACATGTATCTGAGTTTCCTATCAATACAATTATAGCATGGATAATAAACGATTATCATGAACAAGGAAACATAATAATAACTAATTTATTATTGCCTCTAGGGCATATTTCCAACAGTCTCCCACTTACACTAGAGTCAATAATCTAGTTCACATCGCCATGTGATTAACATTCACAGGTCACATCGCCATGTGACCAATATCCAAAGAGTTTACTAGTGTCACTAAACTAGTTCACATCATCATGTGATTAAGACTCAATGAGTTCTGGGGTTTGATCATGTTTTGCTTTTGAGAGAGGTTTTAGTCAAAGGATCTGTAACATTCAGATCCGTATGTACTTCGCAAATCTCTAGGTCATATTGTAAATGCTGCTTCCACGCTCCACTTGGAGATATTCCAAATGGTTGCTCCACTATATGTATCCGGTTTGCTACTCAGAGTCACTCGGATAGGTGTTAAAGCTTGCATCGACGTAACCCTTTACGCCAAACTCTTTATCACCTCCATAATCGAGAAACATGTCCTTATTTACTCCAAGGACAATTTTGACCGTTGTCCAATGATCCATTCCTGGATCATTCTTCTACCCCTTGACTGACTCATGGAAAGGCACACTTCCGGTGCGGT